CAGCCAGGGCCAGATAAATACTAATTTTTTTTATTTTTCAGGGCCCTCCCGGGCTGAATAGAATGGCCTGGTGGGCCGCATCCAGCCCCCCGGGCCACATTTTGCCCACCCCTGCCTTAGACCAACACAGCTACAACCAATAAACAGACTGCCCCTGCAGCCACCCCACAATTTCCATGCTACAAAAAAAAAAAAGACCCAGTCACATTACTGGGTACTTACATGAGCCCTCTCAAGGCTGGTGCCGAGTGCTTCACTGATATAGAAGATGTTTAACCATAAAATGCAAGTTTAAATGCGACTGGACAGGGCTATAAAATGCAGGTTTAAATGCAGCCATAAAATGTGGGATTCAGTGTTACTGGACAGGGCTATTTTAGACATCATTTCCACTATATGCACCATAGTTTTCTCGTATTGGTTGTAAATGCAACAAAGCTGCCGCGACTCTTCTGCTATGTTGCTACTTAGAGGAAAAAATTGTAAGTACAGGCGCCCCTCGCTTTATGCTGTACATGCATTCCTGGAAAACGGCACATAACTCAAATTCGCATAAAGGGAACCCGCTTTACAATGTAACAAATAGGGATATGTTCCAAGACCTCGACTGTTCTGAACCCCAGACCCATTTCTACCACTTTTAAAGGACAATTTTGGTACTCACCAACAGCAGGCAGGGCACACAAGCACAGGGCACTGTCATAATGGAGGTGGCAACTACAGAAACGCGGCAGATGAGCGAGGAGCACAGATCCACACGGGAGACAATATTTTGGCTCATGTCACTCCTGCAACGCACTGCACAAAGCAGCTGACTGCAGGCTTCCACCACACCAGTCGCATAAGAGTGAATTTACCTCGCATATAACAACAAATTTTTGGTATAAAAAGGATCACCGTGTAAGAGCAAATTTGCACGTGCAGAACCCGCATAAAGTGAGGGAAACCCGTACTTGTATATTTGGTTTCCCAAAGAACAGCGAATCCATCCTTATAGATACACACTCACAGTTTAGGGATCCGACGGGATTCAGCAGTCCCATGACAACACGCCAGGCTGTTTTATACACGTTATTCAAACCCAGATCATGTCCCCATTCCCAGACCATTGTCATCCCCCTGTGAAGGTGCCCCTAGGGCTGGGGCAGGCAATTATTTTGGGCAGAGGGGTGCTTACTGAGTTTTGGCAAGCCATTGAGGGCTGCATGACAGGCAGCCCAGGGCAGATTAATTAATTTTCTAAAGGCCCTGCGGGCTGGATGGAATAGCCTGGCAGGCCACATCCGGCCCCCAGGCCACATTTTGCCCACACCTGCCCTAGGGCAATTGGGCTGATACAGGGTGGCAAGTAGGCAGAGGAGCTGTGTTATTTGTCCTTTGGCCCCAAGGAGAAGCCCTGGATGAGTAGCACAGCTTGAGGCTGCTTTTTTTTTTTTTTTAGAGAGCTCTTGCATAAAGCCATAAATGAGAGAGTGTCTATTAACAGAGCACAGTATTGCTGGGGGCTGAGGCCAGTGCAATGTGGGGGGGGGGCATACTTAGCAGATCCTGCGTCTTGGGTAGGGGAAACAACAGCCTATTTTCCCTTAGCAGGCAACAGATCTTGTAGCCCCAATGGCTCAGCATGAAGAAATCTCAGCAAGGGGAATTTCACTCCAGCGTTCCCACTAGCCAGGTCTTCAGTCCACAGTCCCAGAGCTGATGGACATAATCTGGACCGTCCATTTTTAAAGTTGTCTGCAGTGAAAAGAGAGAGTTTGAGCACAACGAAAAGCAGAATGCTCTGCCGTTCCCATTTGATTTTCCTGGAATTGGAGAAGTTATGACTAAGCGGGTTTTACTGCATAGCTTTCTTAGTTAATTGGCGACCCGGAGCATAGAGGGAAGATTGAAATCAATACAGCACTTTGCTGAGAAGCAACGCAATTTTTTGTTGGCAGGAGCAATCGGTTGATCACCTCTGCCTGCAGTTTGTGGTTTTGAAGTTAGTGCAGAAATAAGCTCCTTTATCAGGCCTCACAGAGCTGATCAGCGCTAAAAGGTATTGAACAAGCAACAAGCCTGCCAGTGCTAACGAGGCAGCCACAGGGCCATAAAAACTATCTACCTCAGCTGCTGTAGTTATGCACATCCCAAGAGCTATGTACTTCTGTAAAACCTGGTCACACTTTATATTTACAGTCTAGTTTACACGGGGTTATTAAACAGAGGTTTTCAAAAATGGTAAATCAATTGCTAGTCCAAACAAGATGCTTATTACCCTGTTTTGTAACACCATCTACAGGTGATTTTATGACCATCTACAAAAACACAAAGACTAGCAAACCATGACTCCATGATATAACATTATCAGGCCTTTATAAAACATATATCAAAGGAATTGTAACAGTATAATGGGGTTGAAAAATCTTTCCTTAAGGGCCAGCTATGTCTCCATCAAGCTCATGATTATCAGTCATCATTAGTGGCCTTTTTGCCTTAGAGCATGAGAAGGACAAAAGTGCAATCTTGATGCTGGATTCAGAAGCAACACATGCCTGTGATCAGTGCTGTAGCAACGGGGTACAAGTCGAGCGACCACCTCAGGCACCAAAGCAAAGGGATGCTAACAGGTGCTGCCCAGCCAGGGTGGAGCGTGGGATGGAGCCGCAAGTGGCTCATTTAGTGGAATGGGTGGGGGGAGGGCAGTTCCCGCCGCTCCGTGCACTCCCAGGCAAGCACGGGGCGCATATACCCCCCGGATCTGTGCGCAGGGTGAGGGTGGGCTGCCGCTGCAGGCTTGCTCCAGGCACCAAACTTCCTTGCTGCCCATGATGACGATTCAGCCACATGCCTAGCCCTGGTATCCCTATATGAAGTAACAGCATTTTGCTTGTCACATAGCAAGCGACTGAATTAGGACTATATAAAAGTGCTGTTCAAGGGCTTGAAATGTGGTCCTAAAACAGTAAATGGAGACAGACCTCCAACACTGACTTCTTAACTAGGAGTAGAGAAAGACCTGATATTTTAGCACAATTTTTAAAAGAAACAGATTTAATTTTGCTGCCAGTTTCCAAAGGCTGGTGTGTGCAGCATTTCTCTAAGCTCAGCTGCTCATTCAAGATCACTAAAAATTCATTAAATTAAATGCTCTTCTAATGTTTTTTAATGTGAGCAATTTCTAGAGTTGCCAGAGGAATGGTAAGTGGGAAAAGCTAGTCTGTTCTGCCCCAAATAGAAAGGAAGATATTATTTATGCCATCTCAGGATTTAAACATGGCCTGTGCTGTGAAAATGCTTGCTAACACCCATCCATTGTTTTAAGGACACAGGTTATTTTAAATGTTTCAAAACCACTAGCATCAGCTGTTTAAGGAGTTTCAAAAGAATAAATCCTTATTGCTAAACCAAATAGGCTCATTAGGAGGAATTGCAATTGCACATTGTAGTCAGCCGATTATTATATTTATGTGGGTAAAGGAAAAATACAGCTTCATAGGATAAATTTTTGGGAGGAAGGGGGACCGGTTGATTTATTTGTACATCATCTACAAGGATGTGGGGAGGCAGATGTCGAGGGAGGTTGCTTGCATCACACTCACTGCCCTTTAGGCTAGAGACTAGAGGCATGTCTACACCACCTCTGGGCAATGCCTAGATACACTATTGTGAAGCCCAGCTTTGGGGTGCATGTGCAACTCCCACGACTAAGGCATTAGAGAAGACTTAGAAGAGCCCTGAGCATGTGCTATAATAAGCAGGCTACAGATAGAGCCTGTACTCAGCACTGCTTTAAGGCAGCTGCACTGCCTCGTTTTCAAGACGCTGGCATGCATGCCAGGGAAAGGAGCTGGGGGAGATGCTGAGCATGCCTCTCCAAGACCTGCCAGGGAAAGCAGAGATGGTGGAAACATTGGAGTGACAGAATAAAGAGGAGAGAACTCAGCATGCATTCGCACAGCAAGCCCAGAGACATCAGTGAGGAAAAAGCTGTCAACCCAAATCTATACTTCATCAAGCTTCACCTTAGACACCAGTCAATTCAGTGATCTGGGAAAGATCAGGGAAGACAGTGATCTGACAAGGAAAAGATGATCCTGTGCACCAAGCTAGAATGGAAAGTGTTGGTCGGTGCTTTCACTGAATTCCTCATCCTCACCAAAAGAAAACACGGGAGGTTCAGAGGACAGGCAAGGCAACAGGCACTGTGTACTGGAAAAAAATCTAGTCAAAACACTCACCGGGGCCAGGTACCTCATCCTGCCAGTTCCTCTGTACTTTGAGGCACAGCAAAAGCAGAACCTGTCTTGAGCTTTGTGAGAAGGCAAGGTAGATATGCACCTCCACAGACTGACTAAATATCTGGAGCACGAGCTTTCATGAACCTAAGTTCACTTCATCAGCATGTTGTGAAAGGATGTGCAGAAAGCATGCAGTGTTAGGACAGAGCTTTGTAGACAGAGATTTCCAAAGAGGAGTGAGGGTCCATAGGAAGAGTGGGTGGGTATGGAGCCTGTACAAGCCACTCATATGGAGCCACTCATGTCCCCTAATTTAGTGCTGCTGGGGAATATGGATGACACCAGCCATCTTCAGGGGCTAAGTAGTACTTCTGGAGAGTACTGCCAGCCACAATAGCTCCCTAGGGACTAGGAGAGGCAAACAGAAAATGAGGAAGCAATAAACTGGTTCACAGGTAATTCCCATATCTCACCTAGCCCTACTACAATGAGCACAAGCTGACTACATGAGAGAATCTGAATTGCTTAATAAAAACTGCCTCATTTGCATTTATGGACAATTCTTAGTGTAGGCATCCATGAATGTTAACATCTGTTTAGACTGATCCTAGTGTACCAGGGTGTGGGATACCACTATACAGAACAAAGCTGAATCTATTTCGAACCACGTTTGCATAATTTTTCTTTACAATATATACACCATTTCACCAAAATTCCCAAACCCCAACACCACTGAAGATCAAAGTTTAAAAGTAATTTCAGCAAGACTAGAAAACCTACATGGAAAATAATATCCTCACCCGTTTATTGTTGATTTTACCATTTGTTAACCCAGGTTTTGTTTTTTGAACTCTGTATGAATACAATGTAATTTTTGCAGAAAGTCATACACCTCCATGTTTAAACACACGTATTATACATATTGAAAGGTTACTCTGTCTCGAGTTTTCCTTTTAACGTCTCATTAAAGGGGTGGGGGGATCCGTTGCCACCAATTCACTAGAGTCCAAGTCCGTCTCTTAAGTCAGATGACACGGGGATTCAACGCGTAGAGGTCTGACAGACGTTCTCCTCTGTAGTGCATTGTGCTAGTGCATTCAACCAGTGTGTCAGTATTCAACCATATAAGCTTGGTTTCTTTTATTACACAAATACAGAAATATATTTTACATGGATCTTAGCACGCTATGTGGCTGCTCGCCCTACTATAGGACAGTGCAATAAATACAAATATACGCACACTAGAAAAGGTCTAACTGCCATGATCTACACCTGGTTTATAAGTACAAATTTACCTAGTCAACAATATGACAAATTGAGCAGAAAAAGTGGAGTTAGCAGTAATAGGCTACTATGAAAAACAAGGCTAAAAGCAAAAGTGTTCTCAAGCTACTGAAAATTTGCTACCTTTAATATGAGAATATAGGGCCTAATTCTGCAAGGTGCAGATTTGTGATCCGTAGGCTGCAGCAGAACATGCTTCCCCCCCCACCACCATTGAACAATGAATACTTCTACACTTCATTTGGCTCTGATAACGGTTTATAAATAACACACTATAATGTCTATTAAACTATACAGCAACATGACATTGATTGCCTAATCCTGAATACAAAGTTCAAAGAACATGACTACAAAGGCCAAAGAGCAAATGTCGTCGACTAAAAGCAGCTCCACTTCGGAATTCCATTTTATTGAGTAATTTAGTACACAAACAGTTCTCGATCATGAAAACAAAGGAAACAGATTTTCCTATTCCACTTCATTCCAGTAGTAATTTATCCATACACCAACCTTATAAAGTTAGCGATGGAACTTAAGTGTTAGCCCCTCAGAGCTATATATTTATATAATTTTATATATATGCACATTTACTTTGAGTTATGTAAAATCTGAAAAAAAATGTTTGAAAGAAAACTCAGAATATATCACAGCTTTTTTTTTTTTTCCGGCGAAAAAAATACAAATTAGTTTTATAACCACTATTCAATTTATCAAACTTTTTTCTGAAGTATTTACTTTTAATTATGTACACATTACAGGAAATAAAACTTTTTCCACAAACATTCTTCAAGGTGACTGTTATTAAGAGGATGACAGAATAATAGCAGGAAGAATATTAAACATATGGGGGTGGGGGATGATCAGGTTTCAGCTTTTAAAAAGTAAAAAGTCACCATATAATTAAGTACAAAAACCTGCATTGAATGACAACTGCTGGTGTAGTAACTTGATCAGGTATGGAGACCAAGAGTATAGTAAAGCCCTATGGTAATATTAACTTTTGTAGCATTTCCACTAAATGTTGGCAAAGTTTCCGTAGCATTAGCTTATATAAACACAGGAGTCCTCAGTCTGCTGCATAAAATGAAACAAGTGTTTTGTTTTGTTTTTCACTTCTTTCGAAATGCACCTGTAATTTAGAGAGTGTTCCTTACAAGCTGCATATTGAATCTTTGCTTCAGAAAAATATCTGTTTGGCATCTCCAGGACTCTGTTCCATGGGACAATAGGGGCATTTTAATCTAGAGACAAAGACAGCATGTTAGAAGTGTACAAAAGCAAAAAACCAAGCAGCAAAGCAGCACAGAGATAGCACTAGAGATCTCCAACAGCTGAAATAACAGACCACTAAGTATTTTCGTGCATTATTTTGCTACAGTGGCGCCAAGCTCTCAGTTAAATATGATACCATAGACAAGAAAGGGAATGACTACGTGTTCTTATTCAATATGCTCTACTTGGCTCCACTGAACGGATTCCTATCCTTAAAAAGGGCCCCAATCAGTTATATACATGTTTTCAAACGCTCTTTTGTTGCTTACCTTGTTATTCCTGCTCAGTTTATTAAAAACAAAGACGTTAGATCTTAAAATTCATTCATCATTTTATCCCATGCGATTGGTTGTTGTATTTTTCTCAGTTTGAACTCGGAAATTAGACCGATCATTTTCACTTCAGTTTATGGTTAAAACTTAGTGGGTGCATCCACACGTGTCCCTACGGCGCCTTTGTTACTTCACTGTCATTTAGTACTTCCTTTTGTACTAAATGATGGTGTAGTAACAGCCCGTACTGCACTGTGCACATGGTTATTTTTAGCTACATCACTGTAGCAATAACTATAACAAGGGAGCATACTGCTATAGCAACGTAGCTGTGGCATCACGGTTTGTGACCAGCAACGTAGCATCACATGTAGACGTGCCAAGTGAGTTCCACTGGCCTCAGGTACTACCATATTTACTCAACTCCAAAAAAAGGTTTCTTTCTTCATTTGCCATGTGGGGGAGGGAGGGGGGCAGGCCCTTCATCTTGGAATTGAGTATGAGGTGGGGGGAGAATAGACAGCTGCTGCCTGCCCCCTGCGGCACCACCCTTGCTCCAGCGCAGCAAGCCCCAGCCCAGGCTGGTAACACCTTGCTCGGGTCATTAGACAAACACCTTGTTGGGATCGTTTGACCCCAGTACTCTTTCCTGCCATGGCAGGGGGTCGGACTTGATGATCTGGCTCAGGTCCCTTCCGACCCTACAAACTATGAAACAGCAGCAGCAGCTAGAGAAGAGATGGAGCCTGCTGCAATGCAAGTATAAGCAGCAAGGGGAAGGGAGGAGCAGGGCAGAGAAGGAAAACAGGCTGGGGGACAGAGGTAGCAGGGACGGAGGCACAAGAGGGGCAACTGGAGCAGAGGGGGATAAGGGGCTGTTTGACCCCTCACTGCTTGCTCCCTCCGATGTCCTGCTACCTCCCCAACCTGTTCCCCACCCCCCATCTCCGCCCCTGCCACTGCTTTCCCCACCGCAGCAGTGGGGGCATGAATTTAAGATGACCATCCACATAATTATATTCTATACATAGAAAATTATAACAAATATATAAATTCACTGTGTGTGCAATCTAGTTATTGGGGAGGTCATCTTAAATCCAGTGTTGTCTTGGATTTGGGTAAATACAGTAGTTTGGATGCTACTCTTATGGGAACGTAAACACCAGCCAAAAATTTCCTTTATAAAAATGTTTATTTTATTAGGTTGTGTGAAACCCTTCTTTATAAAACCCAACTTGGTCTGTCAGGATTGTTACACTGCGCATTACTTCTATACCTTAGAAGCTACATGTCCTAAAGCACAATGAATAATAGTTGTATATGTTCCTTTCCTAAAAAATATTTTCTTTCCTTCTAATGTGGTCTCTCTCCAAAACACATGATGATACCCTCATTCATTAGGCACTTAAATGTCTACGATCGAATGACCTCAGCAGAAATAATGGTCTGCTCAAAGGTAATTGACTTCTCAGGTTTTCTCCAAGACTTCTCCCCCGTTTAAATGCAATAATTCATTGGCACTTATTACTTCTGTCAAAATGAAGGATATTTCAGAAGTGATATAAACCTATGCAGTGAGGTCCTTATTATAGCTACACCAAATGCTGCTACTCTGCTTCAAAAGCATTATCCATAAAGTTAACTTAACTAGTTTCCACCAATTTTGTAATTATATCCTGCTCTCTCCCCAAATTCAATTTGTTATCGTCCAGACTTTGCTACATGTATAAGAATGATACTTACTTGCTGCCATTAAACATTTTATTCAGAGCATCTCTTGAGATAATGTGACCACAGACTAGTTTCATAGGTGGATTATTATCTGTTGTTTGCTGACGAAGAATTGGACAGGCAAATATTGAATGATACCAGCACTTTTTACCAAGGTCCACTTCAATCTGCGTAAAACAAATTAAGTTTATCATCTCTTTTGAGCCATCGTGTTTCCAGAAGACAACAATTAGCTTTCCTCTAATGCAGTGGCACTTATTTAACCACACTTCAATACAGCAGCAGGATCTGTGTTGATGTCTACAAATCTCCAGCCAGAAAAATTTCATAGGCATCTTAAGTCAGACTGCTTCACATTTTTTCAGAAAATCGTGACAATTGCAAGAGATGTATAGCAGAGCATAAATCTGCACTGGCAAGTTGACGGACCTGATGGCCCACAGACTTCAACTTCTAGGCAAAGATTTTCAAAGCAGGCTAAAGGGAGCTGGATGATCAATCCCCATCAGCAACTAACTAGAACAGGTTATGCAAATCCCCTGAGGCAGCCACGAATAGTCCCACTTCAACTCTAGATTCACCTCAAGAGTCATATGCAATTGCTTCAGTTCACTTCTTTCAGTTACCAAGGTGTGAGATACTAGCCTAAGCAAAAACTCTTCCACCGCTCAGATGGGTTGATTTCAAGGAGAAAAACTGCCTACTGATTTCACTTTTGGGGGCTAAGGGGATGAAAATCAAGGATGCAAAAAAAAAACAAACAAAAAAACAAAAAATCAGATGCGGTTCAGCAGGAACAAAGTGCGGAACAGTTTCATGAACATGGTCATGGCAGTAATCTGGAATTTATTACTACCGAGCTACTCTAAAAGTAGAACTAAGGGCTGCAACTCAGGCCCCCCAGTCTTTGCCAACAAAGCCATTCCTGCTCACTTTAAGCAGACCCAGCAGTGGAGCAATACAACAGCAAGCTGTATGTGGAGCTGAAGTCCAGCTGAAAGATGTTAATCTGATTTTTTCCTTCCCCTTTGTATTGTGACATGCACTAACAGCATGCACAATTAGTGCATGTTCCTCAGATGCACTTTGCTGGTGACAGAACTGCTCCTACTTGCAGAATAAGAGATCCTCAAAAGTCACGTTCAGTATGTCTGAAGTCCAGTGCATACTCACCGGCAGTTCATCTTTCTGATTCCAAACTCCAGTGCACTGTCTTTGTTCAATCACAGCTTTAATATTAATTAGAGCTGGCAATGCTACACAACCTGCTGAAAAACTGCAGAACAAGAAAAGTATTAATACAGAAAGCTGTTTTAAGAACAACTGCCTCTCAAGGTCCTACCTCCTCAATGCAGTACTAAGAACTAACATGGTAAAACTCATGGCTCTGTTACCTAAAGAGGAAAGAAAATGATCCAAGTGGATCATATCAACGATTTGAGTTGTTATTTGTATTAACACAGTGTCTAAGCCACCCCCATTGTAGATCAGAGATCCATTGTCGTAGGCTCTGTAAAGAGCACAGAAGAAAAGTCAATCCGAGCTCCAAAGCTTACAAGTCAAGTGCTTGATTGTACTGTTTTATTTCACTTTCCACCATACAAGAGGAAAAAGGAGCTGAGTCATCCTGACTTATATACGGTACAGAGAAATAAGTACACAATAAGGGTGGCTAAAACACAGTTCAAATGTAGCCTAAGATGCTGTACATAAGTACTTGTCCTACAATAACTCCTTGATGGAACATAGGTATAACTTGTCTCTACACCTGGTCTCTTAGACCAAGATGAAAATGAAGCCTCTTCAGACAAAATCGCTCAGTGGATGTAAGCACCAAGTGTGGCCAGTGGCCGGGCAAATTAGGGTGCTCTGACACTTTGCTGTCTATCCCAGGATGTCCTCAAACTAGTGAAGTACACTACTAGGCTTCAGCAGTAAGCAGGAACATGCCTTTCTGTGAAGTCATGAGAAGGTACAAATATTTTGCATTGACCACCCACTTCCACACCTATTCAAAACCAGAGTTCTCATACCAGCATTGCTACCCAACTTGCTGCATAACTCTGGGAGTCACTTCACTATCTGAGCCATTTTCATGCAGTAATTACATATGGGGTATAAACAGAAAAACTCTAAGGTGTCTCCACACCAGTCACAGTTAAAAACACCTTGGCTCGACTGATTTCACGGTGATTTCAAGGCAACTGTCTAACATGAGTATCAATAACAGGGAGGGATTTTTCCACATCATTAGCAGTGTCATGGGCACCTGTACTGATAATGAACCGTGTGCATTATGGTGCCAACATTCAAGTCAATGTCAATAAGCAAATACTAAGCGACTGGATTTTATTCACCCAAAGTAAGGTCAACTAATAAATGCTGTTGCTAAAAGGATGTAGATTCAGCTGAAGTTTTTTTCCTTTCAGCTTTGCTATGCCAAACAAAATGTGTCCTAGGAAAAACATCTAATACCTATGACTCATGTACATACAATTAACTCTCTGTGAAATCCTGCATAAAAAAACTTGCGCCTCTTTAAAATTAGTAAACTAAGTGAAGACTATTACTGATAGTAACAAGCAAGGAGATAACCATGAAAACACAGTGGAGCTTTTGTCAAGAACTGAGACTCCCTGCAGGAGGAAAACCACTTATTTCTCGTCTTACCTCTAAAAAGAAAATTGGAATGTAAAGAGGATGCACTTTGGGATGTACAGCCTAATGGCTATATGGTGTCTATATATGCACTATCTGCAGAGAGGGTGCAAAGAGTCAGTTGACTTCTTATTTTTCTAGTGGTCTGCAGCAGACTACTGTATTTGCAGTTGTAGCAACAGCGGGCCATGAAAACATACAAGTTTTCACCTCTGCAAATTGTGAATTCTAATGACTATTGCAAATTTTATCTCCCGAAATCACCATTCACTACCCTTTAAAACAGAACTTCATCATAGAAGCAATGCAGAAGATGACTGGATCAAAGATAACGCAGCAAGAACACCTAACGGAAATAGCAAGTCGAGAAATGGCTTGGGTTTTCAACTGCCAAGCTGTGGTGAAAATCCTCAACACATTTGCTTCAACACAAAATGGCTGGTGACCATCCTTCTCTTTCATACAGATGGGTGACCTTCAGAACTTGAGTCTCGTTATGTAATGCTCCATATGGGGCTCAGTGGATGGCCACCTGGCTCACAACACAGCACTGCATGCTGGAGGTGTCATAGCTCCCAGGACCCACTGAAGTGTGCGCCCACAGATGACTGTTTAATGTTAACTAGATAGGGGTCTTTTTTACTCAGCAAGTTCCCATTGCAACCTTCAGCTGAAAAAAGTGTAGGCACCTGACCTCAGAAGCACTGAAATGCAAGATGCCATACCTAACACTAAGAGGTGATTCAACTGAGAGACCCAGGAGAGCACAGGCATCCCTTGTGAAGATGTCACAGATGTCTGCCCACTGGTTTGCGTCTAGTAGATGAACGTACGGAGAGTTCTCGATACCTTGTCTCAGGTACACCAGGCTGCCCATCAAAACCTGAATATCTGTGAAGGACAAGAATGCTCAAGACCATTACATTTACACAGTTTTATGCCCTAATTAGAAAACTACTCTGAGCTTTTGGCCTTTTGATAAGAAGCCATACATAACTCAAATATAGGGCAAATCAGTAATATTCAGTTATACTAAGATACACAGCCATCTGGACCAAATATAGATATAGCCACCATAGGAAAAATCTCTCTTCCTTTAACTGCAGACTAATTAACCGTTAGATCTTATGACAAGCTGGATAATATAACAATTTGAAACTCAGGACAATAAAATGTTATTACCTATATTACCATTACAGCTTTCTATGATTCTATGCAATGGCAGAAGTCTAAAAAGAGTACTTAGTGCACCTCTATTTCATTCTGCATCAATGTGACAATATTTGAGGTGATCAGAATTTTAAAATAAATCCATGAACATTAGAATGATATTCTGAATGGCTCTGTATATTGCCATTATTTTGAAAATAATTCAAAACTGTGAGGATGCAAAGGCAAAGCTCACTGTGAAAGAGACAGTGTTCCCAAATATGATAAAAGAAAAATTATTTTATAATTCAAGTTGCTACCACAAGTTTCTTAGGCAGACTTCGTCGGTGCCTGTCATCTCAAGGGTTTATTTTTAAACTAACTCCTTGTGGGAGGTGCTGCAAAGCAAGAAGGGATCAGTACAATTGCAAGTGGGTGGGAAAGATGGGAGGAGGGCAGGGGTTAAAGGGAGTAAAGCAAAACACCAGGTAAATGACTTTAAAAAGCCTATTCAATTATATATTGAATATGCATGTCAACTTTCTCCTGGCTGTAGACCAAAACTGATATGAATCTTAAATGAGGCATACAAAGAACATGAAGAGGACAAAGAAAGCAAACATCTTCCTCCACACCATTGATCTCACCAACCCACTATGCCTACCCCCATACTTACCAGCTAGAGTGCCTAAAACATGCATAAAATCTATGGCCTTAGTTTCACCTAGGGATTACTGAAATGGTTATTGCTTATACACAACTACTCTTAAAACACTGTTCCTTTTGTTCCCTAGAATTTAGGACATCACTGAAGCATCACAACTTCCTCCCAAACACATTCTTGTATTAAGTAACCTTCATCTTCCACTAAAAATGTAAATAATTCATTAGACACAAACACAGAAGTAAGAGACTAATGCAATTCAAATCAAATGCCTAGAACCAAATGCATTACTTTGAAATAGCTAAAAAGTCACTTACCTTTCTGATGGTTCAGAGCAAACGGCTGAAAGTTTTTAGCATACTGCAATGCCTCTCTCTGGTTTGCTGTTCCGCCCATCAATAAACTAATGAAATATAATCTATGCAGTTTGAATTCCAGGGAACTGTTCTGTGCCATAAGCATTTCTCTGTTAGATACTGCCCACCTAAGAGAAATGAGGGGAAAATAATACATTTCAGCCTATGAGGAATGTAGCAATTGTAACTAGAACAGCCTCTTCAAGAAGGATTTCTGCTAGAACTTAAGTTTCCTTGCAATATTCAGGGCTCAGACGATATCTATACACTCAATAAAAAAAATAAGCCTCACAGCACAGCTAAAAAAATACATATCTGTAAAACCTCTCCATCCAATACTCAAATAGCATCATTTCTGATACTGAATAGAGCAGCCTCTGTTGAAGATCCCCAGAAAACATCATCCAACAACCTCAAGCAGGAAAGGAGCATCCTACATGAAGCTAGCTTGCAAGACAAATTTAATTAGGGAGTTACAAAGTTAGGAATCTGACCAGTACACCTAGAGATTAAAATCAGGCTGCTACAGGATCTTTAATAACCACAAATTGTCAAGATCTGTTTTGCATTTCATCCCCAGGCTGAGCCTTGAGAACACCCTCCAGAGCGATATCATCTATTGAATCACCAGCACCCCTCTGGCTCACTTTCAAGCTATCATGCATTATGATAATACTGTAAAATTAGTTATAAATACTAAAAACATCTTTCAATACCAACCACTGAAGAGCTTGAAAAAATGTTTCGAACATTCAGGCTTTTGAAAACCTAACCCCATCGCAACTCATTTTGTTTGGTTTTTTTAATCTGGTTGGACCAAAAGCAATTTAAGTGTTTTGAAGATGCCCAAGTTCTAGCGAGAATACACCATCTGTTTCTCATTAGTGTTAATTATACTGTTTTCAATATGATGGCCAATTACTGAAAACAGCAGCCTTTCACCTCATGAAGGAAGGGATTAAGTAGTAGCTTATAAAGGAGAGCTGTGTGGAGTCTCAGCTTTTTTATCTCAGGTCAAATCAGCCACACAAAAAGCAAAGAAACTATATTCCCTCTTCCTCCCCCCATGTTGCACTAT